TTGAGAACCTCTGATCTTCCTCAATAACATGAGCCTTGCTTTAGGAAAGATTTCAATTAATCATCAGTGTTTATTCATATCATGCATTCATTCAGATCCATTCAGCATCGAAATGTGAAAATTTAAATACAAACTAATGATATACAGACTGCGGTTTAAGAGATCTGAAAGAGGGGTTTTCTCATGGAGGAGTAGTAATGGAAGGAGAAGTCGGTTGACGTCACTTCAGTTCATCAAGCACTAGTCGGCAGCACTCGCCCACTTTAGCCGGATCAGAGACCCTGGCATATTTAGAAATCTGAGAGTTGACACCCAAAGATCGTGCAAGGTCCTTTGCGGTGCTGTCCCCGGCCACTGTGGTCCCCAGGGCCACCAGCAGCCTGAAGACGGCCTCTTTGTCGTGTACGACCTCTAAGGCAGTGCTGGCCACTGATAAGCACTGTGCCTTCGCCTCGATCTCAGTGGGTTGACCGTACAACCTTCCAGCGTAGTTGAGCACCAGGGTAGCCAGCGCCACGTGGATGTTCTTGTTGGAGACGACGCGGAGGTCTCCGGCCCGGGACAGGACTGTGTCACGGTGACCCAAGAGAAGAGCGCGGCCATGGGACCCAGAGAAACAGTTGCAGAGAATGCGGAGCACCAGCATCTGATTTGCGGGCCTGCTCTCAGGGGACATGAGACCCAGGAGATGGTTGCAAAGACTGGCACCTTCAGTCCCTCCACAAAGCTGGGCGTTGACTTCAGGATGGCGCACAGCCAAACGCAGGATGTCCAACACTGGGAAGACAATGTCTAAGGAGGGAAATGATGACTGATTAATTGACTGGAAGTAGCAACAGATCTTTTCTTCTGTATTTTGACATACATCCAAGTGTAACAGATTCTTAAAAAAAAAAAAAAAGACTGGGTTTTATTCAGAGGTTGTTAATTAGATTTTGAGATGTGGGCTTTGTGCTCAAAAGTGGAACACAGGTTTAAACGGACTAAATGATTGGTGAAGTCCTACAAAAGTCACCAGAGAGAAGTCTGTTGTTTTTCCCCATGGAAGGTCCAGTTATGACATTTTAATTAAACATTACGAGGTCAAATAAAAAATAAAAAAATACAAAACTAATGTAATACTGAAACAAAAATAAATGAAACCTAAATGGTAATATTTAAAAAGAACAAAAGTGAGTAAAAATAACAGCAGTTTATTACTGCCTTGTAAATTCATTTAAATTCATAATATTTTTAATAACAACATCTCTTAATCTTTAGCAGAGAAGTGAATTGTGCCAACTGTCGCGAGAAGTGAATCAAACCAGTGCTCTCCATGTTCCGTGTGATTGGCTGTCAGCTGCACGTGTCACACTTTCAGATGCATTCGCTCTAGAGTTAATCACAAATCACCGGATCAAGTTGACAGACAACGTTTTTACTGAGCTTTGTGAGCCTGCTAAACCTGATCTAAACCAGGTTGGGATTTGTTTGGTTTTGTCAACTTATTCTGAAACTCAGAATTTGTTCAGCTAGCTTCATGAGCTCACAGGCTACAGAAGTTTGTGGTAATCCTGAAGACTTTGATTAGCTTGTTCAGGTGGTTTAATTAGAGTTGGAGCTAAACTCTGCAGTACCATGGCCTTCCAGAAGCAGGATTGAACACCCTTGCCAGCAGTGATACTTTGCGCTTAGTATAGTGAATTGTTTATTTAAATGGGAGGTTTAATGCTATTTCATGCATTCTGACTTATTTACACTGTTAAAGAGTTGGATTCTCATGCTAAACATGGCCAAAGTTTCAAAAAACGAGTTGGTCCTTCAGGGTTCGTATACGTTTCAGAAAGTTTTTTTGCGAGTATGGCCCTGTATGACGTCATGAAGGATGGAATTCCTTGTATGGGCACTTCTCCAGGAAGAGTGCGCGCACATATCAACCAGAGCGAGAGCAGCCCATCAGCGTGCTTCATTCGGTTACGGAAGTCGTCGGAAGGATTTGTCATTTTGTTTTGCCGGTTGGGGCAAAACAAATTTGTCAAATACTTAATTTGTCTTCCGGGAAACATGCAAGTATCTTATGTTGCTTCCAAAGGGCAGTACTAAATGGACAAAAATGATATTTCAACAAAATAAGAAAAATTTGTACATCTTCATCCTGTTCAAAAGTTTTCACCCCCAAGAAATCTTAATGCATCGTGTTTCCTTCTGGAGCATCAGTGAATGTTTGAACCTTTTTTTAATAGTTGTGTTTGAGTCCCTCAGTTGTCCTCAGTGTGAAAAGATGGATCTCAAAATCATACAGTCACTGCTGGAAAGGGTTCAAATATGCAAAAGATGCTGGAAAACTGAAGAATCTGCAGGAGCTGAAGGATTTTTTTGAAGAACAGTGCTCAGTTTAACTGTTCAGAACAAACAAGGGACTCATGAACAACCATCACAAAACAAAAAAACAATCGTGGATCATCCAGGTAACCACACACAGTATTAAGAACCAAGGGTTCCCAAACTTTTGAATGGGGTTATTTTAATAATTTCAGCTATTTTTTTGTCTTGTGGACTATGTAAACATCTTTTATATAAAATATCTTACTCGGGACAGTACTAAATAAAAAATAACATGCATTTTGTATGATCGCTCTTATTTTGTTAAGATTATTCACATTTTCACAGATTCTGCAAGGGGTTCCCAAACTTTCGCATGCCACTATAAAACTAAAGTCTCTTCGGAGATATGAAGGATGCAATACTACTCTATAGTTACTCAAGATTAACATGAGATTGGCAGAAACTGTGTGTGTTATGTCCCCTTTAAGTTAAGTAGGCTCAATGCCTTACCTTCTGGCCAGTGGCTAGTCCTCCACAGAACACTCATCTGCTCTGCCGTGGGCTGTTCCTGACTCTTCAGGTCTGTTACTACGTGCAACAACTTCTCCAGACAGTCCAGTGCTGCGTCACTCAGCTTACGGTCCGCAGGAGCAGTGTTGTTCAGCTCCCGAAGCTTACCTACAAATCAAATGATATTGAGGAAATGTTATGTAGGGATACAGGATAGGTTATTGTCACCAAGTATGTCTTCACTGATTGCGCAACCTAGCTCTCCAGTAAGGCCTGGACCACCCAATCACAAGCTTGGCCGACAGGGCTACAGAGATGAAGTCAAATACCATGGCACTTTACTAATCTATAAATAATATAAATAAATTGTATTTATTTCAGCTAGTTGTCAAGGCAACATTTCTCATTTTCATTGAAGTACTAAAATACCTAACGAAATAAATTAAAACCAAAACTATATAGAAAAAGCATACAACAAAATTACTAACACTTAAACTAAAATGAAAATATAAAAATAAAACCTATTCAAAATATTATTAATAAAACTACAATAGCACATGAAATAACACCGCTTCACAGAATACAATGTTATTACCATGGTATTATAAAAATGATATTTTTATGCACTTTTTTGTTATTTCCAACTTTGAGCCCAACCTGAAAGGCCTGTGCTCCACCTTACATCTTAGAGTAGGAGCCCAGACTTTGATTAAGTTGATGTAAAAGTGTCACTTACCAAGAATCTGAGTTGAATTCGCCTGTTCAAACATAACTCCATCCGTACTGGGGAAGAAGATGTTTGTCGTAGCTTTCGGAAGAGAGGAAGAGGAATAGGCACTGCCACCTAGAGAGAATTGAGAGGTATATTAGTGTACATGATCCATGAATGCATGTGGTGCTCGGGATGTATCGCATGCATTTTACCAGTAAAAGGATCAGCTCCCCCTGAAGACACCGTGCCTGTGGATCCTCCTGACTCGGGTATATATCGTCCAGCCCCTGCCCAAACAAACATAAACATCTCTCACAACTTTGATTTCATATTAGCAAAAAACAAATGCTATTCAAAAAGGCCCACCTGTGAAAGGATCAGCGGCAAATCCTTGGTCGCCACTTCCTGAACCCGGAATGTACCGTCCCGCACCTGAGAACACAGGAGGGATATAGCACACTTCCGTCTTTACCTTCAGCTGAATAAAGTGGGTGTATGTGTAAGCATATGGGTCCAGTTACCTGTGAAGGGGTCTGTGGACGTGGCGGGGGCTGGGCCTAGAGTGTGGCCTTTAGTGTTCTCGATGACGAAATTAGCCACCTGATCCAAGAACATGGGGCTCAGCTCATTCTTCTGCAGGAAGTTGTGAGCTGTCAGCCAGGGGTCGTCCGTCACATTGTAAGGCAGCTTCAAGCCAGGACCTCCCTCATTCACATCGATAGAGAAGACGAAGTCATACTCCTTTAGGCAGGAAAAATCACAAGGGTTACAACATGACTATAGTTTAACTTCTGGACACAGAGGACAGCATCAACACTGGACATTTAACAGCTCTCACACAACAGACTACCACAAGTGTTGACCATAAAAGCATTGCTTGAATCAATTTATGAGCAAAAACTGCAATTGACAGCAAACAGTGACTACATCATGCTTATATACTGTGCATAAAATGTACTGGATCATTACAGGATAAATACTATGTGTCTCACCTTGCCTTCATACATCACTCGCAAAATGGTTATATCCTACATAATATATTTTTTCATACATATAGGTATGTGTATAGAAGGTATATACAATAATAATACAGTATAATGCAAAAATATAAATATTATAATGTATTAGTTAGAAGGATATATATATCTTTTTTTTTTTTTTAGATTTTTGCCGATTTTGCCTTTATTATGATAGGACAGTAGCAAGACAGGAAGTGAAGTGGGAAAGTGAGAGAGGGACAGGAGCGGGAACGGTCTGCGAGCCGGGACTTGAACTTGGGACGCCTGAAGCGCAGCGGCACTATATGTTGGCGTGCTGCCCACAAGGATATTCGCAGATAAATACTGATCCATTATAAGCAAAAATATTTGCTTAGCATTCTCACTGTTGTTAATACCAACTAAAACTAAAGCTGAAATAAAATACAAATATTAGATTTAAAACTTAAACGGAAATTAGAAACAAACTAAAACTAGTTTAACTTGAAGTACTAAATTTACTAAAACTGAAATAAAAGTAAATTAAAACTGAACAAACAATAAAATAAAAATGAAAGCTAATTCAAAATATTAATTAATACTATAATAAAATATAAATAATACAAAAATAACCCTGAACATTCTTGAAAACACTACATGTGTACAAGGCACACCTCAGTTCGCTAACCTGGTTCATTCAGGTGCTCTCTGCCAGGTAAGTCCTCTATCTTGATGTCGCCCAAGTCTCCAGTCTTGGGGTCAATGATGGCTTTGGAGAGTTCATCCTCAAAAACCTGTAGGTCCTGAGCACTCGCTACACGCTCTTCGCTCTCGGTGAACACGCGGATAACGCCATCGCTTCAGAGAAATGTGACATGGTCAGCCTCATGCAGGATAATAAACTGCAAATAGTTTCGAATATATGAAACAGAAACAGTATGCATACCTGGCTCCCACAGCAATGTCTCCATCAGGCAGAATGCAGCAGCACCACACCGACTGGGCAGGAAGACGGATAGTCTGGGAACATTCCCCCTTCCTCCAGACCCTCAGTGTCCTGTCCTCTCCTGTGCTTATGAAGTCTAGAACAGGAAAAAAGAAGACAATATAGGAAATAATTTAGATTTTATGCACAAATATGTAGAACCATATCAATCTACTGCAAAACTGAAGGTAAGCACCTTGTCCGTTAGGGAAGACAGCAAGGCTGTAGATATAGTTAGTGTGAGCATAGTAAACCTGCACACATTCACCCGTCACCATCCACCGTCTAATGCTGGCGTCATTACTGCAGGAGAGAAACTCCACCTCGTTTATCACAGCGAGTCCTCGCACACAGTCCTCGTGACCTGCAGGACAGACACATTACAAATATCTCACACAGCTGGAGTCAAAAACTGCATTTCACCCTTGCCACAATCAATTACTAATGCTGACCCCTGCTGGAGATCTGTTAAAACTAAACAAGCTCCACAGTGTCTATATTCAGCATCAAATAAACATTGTTTCATTGTTGAAAGCATTAGAAGTATCAGTTGCACCAATGTACCAGTGTAGGTATTCTCACAGCGACCAGCCTTCCATAATTTGATGGTCTTGTCAGCTGATCCAGACAGCATTAAGCCCTGCTCTGGCAAAATGACTACGGCCCATACAGCAGCGGTGTGTCCCTGAGGAGCAGCAATTACACAAGAAACCAGTCAGCACATACTCACACTGTACTGAAATCGATTGCAGGCAATGTGAGTATATCTGATCTCCCACTTAAAGGTACAGTGGGGAGAGAAAAAAAAAACACATTATTTAAGAAAAGCCGTGATGTAGGGCTGCATGAAAAAAAATCATTAATACTTTACTTGAAGCCTTTATGTATACGTATATGTAATGCACCTTATAATGCAATGTATGATCGTATAGTTATAATAGGTTAGAATACATTATAATACTTTTCTATTCATTGTCACACATTTTGTAATGTATAATGCATTCAAACATTACAAACAATCAATTTAACAATTTTAAGAATCTGCAAATAGTATCATGCATTTTATGTTGGGTTACAATTAGTTATGAAAAGATTTAATGCATTAGAACATATATTATGAATAACTTTATAATGCATTACACAAAGGCTTCAACTAAAGTGTTGACAAAAATATCAAAATGTGGTTTCATGATAAAAAAAAATTGTGATTGCGATTTAAAATATCATTGCAAAGGTTTGCTGCGCATATTTGTAAGGCTGCACATTTTGGTCAAAAAACTGAATATATATCAATATGACTGATGATAATAATAATAAAATTATTTAAAAAAGAAATATTACTACTGGAATATTTCATAATAAAATAAAAAATTAAGTATTTAAGAAAAATAATAAAGCAATAATTTTATTTTACAGTACAACTTCTTTATTTTCATCAAGCATTCTTAAAGCAAGTTCTTAAAGCTTTTATGTTGAAAACAGCCGGTTTTTAAGTTTGGGAAAATGGTTTGGTGCATTTTGTGTTTCCAAATGCACACTACAAGCAAGCCAAACTCACAGCACATGCAGAGATAAGTTCATTGATAAGTGCGGAGGAGAATTTATTGCGAGCTGCTCTGAGACACTGAAAACACTGGATCATGAGCTGCTAGTTTGTAACGAACACAGTACCACATTTCACTCTGAAACACAACGCATATATTTGATTAAATCGCAGACTTTGTCATTTGATACATCACAATAAGCCAAATTGCGATACTACTATAGTGATACCAAGAACCATTCCACTTTACCTGTAAGGTCATCATGCACTTCTCTCCAAGCCAGACTTTGGCTGTTGTGTCCCATGAGCCACTTAGTATTGTGCCAAACTTGCCAGCTGAGAGTGTGCAGACTGCAAACACACACACACACAAAACACCAGGAATTACTACAGAAATCATTCCAGTGACACTCGGACAACCTGCACGCAGTTACATCACTGTAATACATCAATAGCAGTGGATAGTACCTGTGTTTTTGTGACCCTTGAGGGTGAACAGAGGGTCTGGTCGGTCTAGTGAAAACACACAGATGTTATTGTCATGTCCTCCAGTGGCGATGAGTCCTCGGGGGTATGTTTCATTAGGAGCGATGATACACACGCAAGACACAAAGTTTGAGTGGCCGTTCATACAGTGCATCTCTGTAAAAACCTGGTTTTCACTGCAGAAGAAAAAACAGAAGAGTTAAACAGATGTTGGTCATGTGTTTTTATTATCTATCCTATTTACAATACCGTTCAAAAGTTTGAGGTAGGTAAATTTATTATTATTTTTTTTTTACTTAGCAATGCTGTACACCAATAAACAAATCATAAAGCTTCACTAAACTGAACTGAATTCAACTGAGTTGAATTGAACGGAACTGGATCTCAGTGAATTCAGAGAACGCTTAATGAAGTTTAAAGAGACAGTTCACCCCAAAATTACAATTCTGCCAGCGTGCATGACTTTCTTTCTTCTGTGAAACACAAAAGCAGACGTGTTAGGCAGAATGACTCAATCACTATTCACTGTATGGAAAAGATGCAAGTAAAACAAGTTATATGGACTTGGAACAACGAGAGAGTGAACAAATGATTTCATTTTCATTTTGGGTGAACTATTCCTTTAACGTTTCATAGTGTTTTATAGATCGGTCGCTGTCAGGAAACCAAACCCGGCCAGTTTCCTTTCAGATATGATGCTTACGAGTAGCCACATTTCGCTTGATTTGGCAACCCCTCTCAATACATTAACTAACTCTGACAACGTATTACCACTCAACGAAACGAAAAGTAAACCGGGTCTGAGAAACAGCAGGGGGAAGCTGGTGGCAATGTACCTTGGGTTTGGTACCCAGACCCGTGCAGTTCGGTCTCTGGACACGGACACAAACGCTCCGTCTGGATACGCGGCGGCGGCGAGGCCCCTGACATCCATCTCGTGCGCGGGGAGAGAGCAGCGCAGTCTGTATGCGTTACTGCCGGACATTATGACTGATGAAAGAAAGCGATCCTACTCACACTGACACAGCAACACTACAAACACACAGCATGACGGGAGACCTCGCGACAAAATAAAAGCCCCACTACCAAATATTATACTGCGATACTGTTAGCTCACAATATAAACTTTTACGTGTATAATATCACGTTTATGTACAATATATTTTAAATTTGAATAATTTAAATGTACACTTTCAATATAGAACAGATGTTAAATAATAATAGACTTTAAACTTGTTTTTAATATATGAACTTCACCCCGGAAAAACATGAACGAGTTGCTCCATACTCCAGTTCAGATGGTGGCGGTAATGCACTAATAAGCTAGTCTGCCAACCGCCAATAAACATTAGAAGAAGAAGAAGAAGAGCATGAAAGAGTTGAGTTCTGTCCTCGGATAAGGTGAATCTATCAAAATCATGTCCGCTAATAGGAGGATAACGCTCATATTTGGAGGCTTCATTGCAGCTGTTGCGGTGGCTTTTTATCCGATATTTTTCCATCCTCTCACTCACACTGAAGACTACAGTAAGTCTTATCACAACACATGGTGACATTAGTCTTGTGTTGCTAGTAAACTTCTTCAGGTTCAACTATATTGTATTTTGTATTTTGTAACCTAATAATCTTATATAATCTTTATAACCTAATAATCAGTTTATCAGTTAACGTTACATAGGTAGTGAAAACATTAATGCACATTATTATTATTATTGTAAAGAACTATGCATCACTCACTGTAGTGTTATAACGTTACTGCCTTTAATCTGAATTATGCGCTGAATTAAATAAAAATGACTATACATTTTTTGAGTAACGCATTGTAGTAAAACTATTCTACTAACGTAATGAAAAACACCACTGAGATTAGTGGGAATAAGCAAACAAAAAGAAAAAAAGTATAAGACAAGGGGGGTATTCCAGAAAGTAGGTTATGTGACTGACATACCCGGGTAACTTTATCTTTAAGGGTAAGTAAGCGGATAAACTCCGCATTCAGTTCCAAAAACGGAGGTAACTTTCAGGGTAACTTATGTAAGTAGCCATAGCAACCTACTCTCTGAACATAAGCTGCTCCCGGAGTAACTTCTGTTCAGGGTTAGTTTACTTCAGCGCTCTCAGCGCATGCGCGACCTATTGACGAGACTCCAGTGGGCGTGACAGATTGCGCACAATATATATTATTAAAACATAGTTATATAATATACAATATTATAGTTTATATGTATGTATGTGTGTGTATATATACTGTGCAAAAGTCTTAGGCCACTTGTATTTTTAACAACAACAACAAAATGGTTTTAAGGGAGTTATTTCTTTTTTTTCTTTTTCTTTTTTGCCGTAGTGTTTTAGTAGGAAATATCAGTTTACATTAGAAAACATTCATTTTGCTATTTGTTGTAATAATCCAGTGAGATTTTTTTCTATGCACAAACAGCCAGTGCTCCACACAGAGATCTCATCATCATTCAGTCTGTCTGGAATGACATGAAGAAACAGAAAAAACTGAGACAGACGAAATCCAAAAGAACTGTGGCAACATCTCCAAGATGCTTCAAGAAACCTATCAGTAAAGCTATCTGAAAAACTATTCACTAGTGAACTTAGGACAAAAGCTGTTTTAAATGCAACTTGGTCACACCAAATGTTGATTTGATTTAATAGAAGTTAACTGATAAATCAAATCTGTTTATGATATGTAATTCCAGACAGACTGGATGATGGTGAGATCAGATCTCTGTGTGGAGCACTGGCTGTCAGACTCCTTGTGCAAACAAAAATCTCACTGGATTATTACAATTAATGGCAAAAGAAATGTTTAGGAATGTAAACTGATATTTCCTACTGACACACTACAGCAAAAAATAGAAATAACTGGCTTTAAACCATTTTTTGTTGGTGAAAATACTAATGGTCTAACTTTTGCACAGTAGTGTATATAAACATATATATATATATATATATATATAAAGCACTATTATAACAAGATTTGATTATTCTAATATATTTATTATATTTGTTTTATTGTCATCTCACACATGAATCTGCATTCAAACCTTTTTTTTCTCCTTTTGCAACAGGATATTTTCTATAATGTTTTTCTATAATAAAAATACGTTATGTCTTATTAATCAGCGTCAAACAAACAATAAAAATTTTATTCTCAGTGATTAAAGATGAGTTTGATAAATGATTGCACAACCACCAGTTAGGTGGCGATATGCACTAGGTATGTAAATGGCCATTGAACAAAAGAAAAAGAAAGAAGCAGTATGGTGCGTGTTTTCTTAGCGTCGGTTTCCATGGTGACTCGTCGATTCGACACTGTACTCCGAGTTGACTGAACATACTCCTGGACGCGTTTTTGGAACCAGCATAGCTCAAGTAAGTAAGGTTTGGGTTAATCAACTGAGAGTTCAGGGTATATGTGATGGTAAGTTAACCTTGCTTTCTGGAATAGCCCACACTAGGACACTATGATGTTATCTAAAATGATGTACATCAGCTTCAGTTAAATTGAATTTTGTAACCTATCAATCCTATAATGAGTTAGTGAAAAAATAAACGGCACTAAAAATATTAAATAAATTAACGAGGAACACCACCAGCGTTAATAACTAATATTAAACTAAAAGCATACAAAATAAATAATAAAATATTTCAAAAATTCAACATTATTTCAGCTTGCTGCAAGCTACATTTCACATTTTCTTTTAGTTGAAGTACTAAAATAACTAAAATTAAAATGTAAATATAGACATATTAAAAAAAGCTAATAAAATGACAAGGCATCAAAATTACTAAAACATTAATTTAAAATAAAAAAAAAATAAAAAATTATAATATGACATATCAGTGATACCAAAATAACACGGAACACCACTGAGATTAAGTACAAATATTTTAAACATTAAAATAATAATAAAGTGTTGGAAGCTTGTTTTTGTGAGATTCGCCCTAAAAAGTGTCAGCATTTCCCCCAGTGCTTTTCTTTATGCTGTCTGAATTTGTGCCAATGTAATTGCAGAGCAGATCCAGAGGATAAATCGAGCCGGAGTCAATCAAGCAGATGTGCAGCCTGCTGGTAAGTCATGTTCACTCTTTATGTCATTTGGCCAGTGTGTTGAGTTTGCATTGTTTGGACTGTAAACATACTGTAAACATATATGACACCTCACATCACACATGTGGCAGGATTATATATTCTGTGTATTACAGTTTATTTGCATTAGGCCCATGTGAATGCTATTTAACAGACAGTAGTTTCTGTATATGATTGTCATTTATGTGTCTTATTTAAATAGGTCTGAAGATCTGGTCTGATCCCTTCAAGCCAAAATCATGATTCCAGTGTGTGGATGAAAACTGAATGAATGAACATGAGGATTGTGTCACTCACTGAGGATTGAGTATTTGAGATACACACACATCAACTCTTTGCTACCATGCATTAAATGAGACTTTAAGGATGTATGGATCTTCTGAGTATGTATATTTTCTGTTGGAATATGATTGAAACTAGAATGACCGAATAACTGTAAATAATTCAAATAAAGTGAAAATGAAAACTTTGTTGCTTTGTTAGTCAGCATTTAAAATATTATGTTCAGGAATCACTTTGAATAGTTGAACTTTGAATAATGCTGGTATATTAATGGAGTAACATATTATTCCTTTATTTTTATTCTGAATAATATATACATCTTGAACGGTTCCTCAACCCGCCTGTTTGTTTAACAAATATATGACCACTAGATGGCGCTCACTTCATTTTGTACATTACTAGATCCTGTGGGAATAATGCTGTTAAGAAGTTGGACCTTTAGTTATTCATTCATGAATACTGTAGTAGGATCATAACTTTGCATAGTTCATCGTGCTTTATATTTATATTCAAATTGAGTGAGAAACCTCTACTGAAAACCTCAAATCTGACACTAGAGCTTTGTTTTCAATCAGCATTATTATTTTTACACTGGAGACCTTTGTGTTAATACATTTTCACTCTATAATAACATAATTTCCACTCAACTGTGCTTTTGTAATATTTTTGTTGCTCTTGTTCCTGATTAGATTTCTTGTGTTATTTTGGCGCTGAGAGTTGAAAGAGTCCTTTGGCCCTCAAAAGTTGCAAAATCTGTAACCTGAGAGCATATACCTTGGCCAGGACCCTGTGCCAACTAAGACCTGTTGTCATGGCAACAACACTGGGCCAGCACCTGTGCATCGGAGAGGCCCAAGACCCTGCCCCTTTTTACTCAACCGCTTTGTGTGTGAGGGTCCAATGAACAAGATCTTCAACAAGCTAAACACAACAATAAGTATGACACAATACTGAGCTTTATAATGTACTTTACTACATACATACTACATTTACATACATACACAGTGGGTATAGAAAAGAAGCAGCCCCCTTTAAAATGATCACATGTTGTTGCTTGAAATGAAGACGGACACAGTTTTTGTTTTATCCAGCTGTATTTACTCAGTGCAACTTATAACATCCAAGTGAAAGATATAACACCAACATGTCAGATAAAATAAAATACAATTAATTACAGCCTTTATTCTGTTGGGATATTTCTCTACTAACTTTGCACATACTGCAACTTTCTGGCAGAGGGCAGCAGATTTTCCTCAAGAATTTGACCTTATTTTGCCTGAGAAGGTGATCATCTACACCTGGTTGAGTTTACAAGTCATTTTTAGGAGGGGGGTGATCCTTTTCCAACTCAGTGATTCTGTTTTTTATTTATTTATTTATTTTTCTGACATGTTGATGTTACATCTTTCACTTGGATGATATAAGTTGCACTGAGTAAATACAGCTGGATAAAACAAAAACTATCTATCTATCTATCTATCTATCTATCTATCTTTATTGGGATCTAGGGTTTCATGAAGAACTTTTAACATTCATGGGACCTTTCCAGTGTATAAAAGGTTCTTTAAATGAAAAGGTTTCTTTAGATTATTAAGAGAAATGTATTTATTTTATTAAATTGTGCTTATTCAATTTCACTTAGTAAAGCATAATGTATTGCAAATAAATGTTTTGAGAGTGAACCCTGAATCCATATTTAGAGTTTTTATCTAAAGCAAACATTAAAAACCTTATATCCACCTTATTATTCAACGTGGAAGTAAGCCGTTTTCTGTGAATGTGCGTAACTTAAGACACACCAATTTGCAATATCAAGCAGCAAAACTAACAGTTTTGTACGGCTAAAAATAGCGGGGCGGATGACACCAGAAGCCAGACCCATAAAATCCACGGGAAAAATAAGGTGGATAGGTTTTTAAATCGCTTTTTTATAGTATTTCAACTTGGTACTCACCATGAAAATAGCCAACCAACCAACCATCTTTATATTGTTAAATTGTTCTTCACACACACACAAAAAAAGTTATTTTCAGAACTGTTCACTTGAAGGTTGTTGCTGCGAAATCCCCTTTTTTGGAAGTGTATTGTATAAGGTAATTGAATATTAAGTACACAAGGAAAATGATTAAACTTTGCTTTCTATTAGTTTTCTATTAAACATGAGTGAGTGAATAGACTAACTGTGAACTAAAATAATTTGAGGTCCTTTTTCAATTACATGGTGCCTGTTAAAATGAATGCATGTGAGAAAGGAACAGAGAGGGGGTTTACTAGAGGATGCAGAGTCCTCTGTCCCATGAGACCTGCCGCATATCCAAGAACTGACATAATATCTCCTCACTACCACAAAGAGCACATTGCTAACCCTCAGCCGAGAGCCTGCCAGCGCAGCAGCTGCCAAACGCAATAACACTTCACCCCCCCACACACCCCCGTCAACTCAACCAACTCCATTGTTTATGGGATGTTGTTATTGTTGGTCACCATTCAAAAAACAAAAGTAAAACTTAAGGGCCCCGGCCATGAGGACGACCCGAAGTGAAGAGAGGAAAACGGACTGAGAAAAGTGCGAAATTCTTCTCATTCCTCATAGTGTTTTCCAGATTCCTGAAACGACGACAAGGCCTTGGATGCGAGCGGAGGCCGCCACAATGGGGAAATGTCAAAAAACTGTGCTGGAGCAACCAGAGCAGCAGTCCTCAAGTTACCCGACAGGCCTCTAAACACGAAGCATTAAGATGGATGGAATCTTTCACCTCAGGCCGTGTGTGGAAAAGCATTTCTGAGTGTGCTTGTGGGGTTTCATCCTCCTAAGAGTCCGGCCTTTTATCTGGTTTAGTTGTGAAAGAGTTAAACACTCACAGCAGGGAGTCAGATGGCTGTTTCATAAGTCACTGTCTCTGTTAAGGCTCTATTGTACAGCTGTCCACAGATTGTACTGCTGATATGAACTCAAGAGACGAACTTGAAGCCTCTTTTGCACTTTTCTAGTTGTCAGAGTTTTTAACAGAAATGGGACGGGAACCGATGCTCCAGCCAAAGCTATTGGGAAATGGCAGAAATGATTTCCAATGGGAAAAATAAGTGCACAGACTATAGACAAAACTACAATCGGACATGGATAGAGTAGATATGTGCGGTTGGGTTTTATGTATTTGAACGTATTCCCTTAAAAAAAGAATTATACTTCAAGTTCATTTTAAGAAGTAAACATAAGTTGAAGTATATTTTCCCAAGTATACATTATATAGTAAGTGTACTACTTTAATACTTATTGGGACTGAATTGGCCTACTTTTTAGTTTATAAAGGTATACTTTTAAGTGTGCCTAAAGTATAAGTACACAACTAGTTTACGTCAACAGTTTTCTTCTCTATTGCAACTATATAACTAATACTGAACTGAACTTACAGAAAGTCTGTTAGTTTACTAGCTATACTATATACTAGCTATACTCTATGCTAAACTGCTCACTTTTTACTACACGACTTCTAACCAAGTATACTTAAAATAGTATAAGCCGAGTATACCTAAGTATAAATTTAGGTATATCTCTGATGAGCACATAAAAAGTAGACTGAAAGTATAGTCTCTTATTTTTAGTTTAAGCAAAAGTATGCTAAAAGGTTTGTTGGGGTTTAGAGAAAAAATACAGTTTCAGTGTGGGGAAATCAAAAGCACATTTTTCCTACAAAGTTGCATGTCATGTTTTTACTGTCGGAGTGTCAACAGCTGTAGTAAATCAAGCTGAATCGCTCTTCGATTCAGTTTCAATTATGTCATTAATCTATTTATACATACATATTTTAATGACTTATTCGTGAGGGATTTTTGTTTTCCACACATTCACATGTGCTTACAGTACTTCTCCTTGAGTAAATGTGTACTCAACATGCTGTTAAAGACACACACACACACACACACACACACACTTACCAAAGCACGGCTCACATTCTTCGTCACCATGATATGACTCTCAAAACAACATAATTGCACCGATTGTTTCATTCTTGAGTTACCACGCTGAAGGAGCCTTGTGGAAACCGACAGCATAAGTATTTGTTAATGTCTGAGAAAATGAGCTTTGGGAGGCCTTGCTAGCTCAGGAGAATCTTCAGCATGAGAAACATAAATGCGACTCCTTAATGAAAAGCTAATGGGGTGTATGTGTGTGTTTAGAGCTGTTTATCACCTGTGCTGAACCACAAAGCAAAGCTGCATTCAGAAGGAAGTGGCATCTTTTTTTTTTTTTACATGACTCAGCAATGGATCCTTTGCAGTGAATGGGTGCCGTCAGAATGAGAGTTAAATAAAAACATCACAATAATCCCCAAGCAATCAACATGACTCCAGTCTATCAATTTGTAAAGTGTCCTTTAGGAATTCGTTCCCACGACTTAATTAGTTCCCCGTATTAGTTAATTTAACTAACAAATGAGTAGGCTACAGTGTGGCCACTAATTAATAAATAAAAATTCATAATTCATTGCCACAATCTATTTTGACTTAAAATGTCAATCAAGTGGATTCTGATTGGCTGTCAACATTTTATCATTCATCAGCTGGAAAAAAAAAAAAACATTCAGAAAGTGATTTAAATGATTCTCTGTCATTATCACAGTTGGTGTGGACTTCTTTAATCTCACAGAATCAGAATGATTATAAAATGTGAACGGCCCTTAACACTCTCAAACTTTCTGTTGAACTGAATATCAGTGGTTACCTGCAGCTTCATGCTTATTCCCAAGCCACAGGTGTGCAGATTCACTAAAACTCTTGATTGTTTCATACTGCTTGATCTTAAATTGGAAGATGCCCATGTAAACACTCAGTAGTCTTATGAAGAAATGTTTGGCTTGACTACCACTCAACCTGGCTGTCAGTTATAAAAGACAATATGAATTTAATATGGCCCTTCAGATTTGTATCAGTGGTGTAATAAACTGTGAGGGGTTGTTGCCTCAGGCTACATTTCCTTTCAGCCTGGCTCAAGTTGCTCCTTGTAAGCAAACATCCATTAATAGCTGACAGTTTTAGCCTTGAAAACACTTCAAAACCATATCAAAGAGCTATTCCACAATAAATTTGTCATTAAAGACCTTAATTCAGAATTCCTGGCTTGGATTTTCAGAATTGCTATAGAACAACAAACAGGCAATATATCAGATGTCTAGGTGAAAGTGTAGA